GGCTGTGTGCCTCTGCCTGTGCCAAGCACGGTGCTGTCTTTCTGGGGTGGCTCGGATCCAAATCCCTGCTTTCCAGGTACCCTGGCTGCCTTCCTCCTTCCCTGGTCAGCCAGGGTACTCCTCAGCACCGTGGGGCTCCCAAATGAGTCCTGGACTGATGCCTTGTTGCTGATGTCCCCATCACGTGCCCTTGACATGGGGGGTGTTGGGATGGGGGGGGGGGGGGGCAGAGGAGACTGTGTGTGCTGGTTTTCAGGTCCAGGGGCTCACCCCAGATGGAGGAGGGATCCTGGGGCGCACAGAGGCAGTACAGCTGCCCGCTCTGCTGCCCAGAGGGACCATCAGCATCTGCTCTGACGCCTGGGTGCATACAGCCAAAATGGGAAGGCAGGTTCTGCCCTTCACTGAACCCCAAACCTTTTCCCTCCCCACCTTATTCGGCAGCCGACGGGCCCCCCCCCCCCCTGCCACACCAGCCCTGGTGCTTGATAGCGGCTGCTTAGAGGCCGGCGGGGTGCAGGCTGCTGCGGAGAGGGGAACAGCGGGACACGGGAGCCCAGTGTGGAGGTCACTGTCCCCAGTGCCACCTCCCAGTCCCCCTGCGAAACCAGGGCAATAGGCACAGGGAGGCACAGAAGGAGGCACCCAGGACTTGCGGCATTAATGCATTGCTCCCGCATGGCCTGTCACCGAGGCAGGAGAGGACCTGGACACCCTGACGGAGTGCGCTACGTGGGCTGCCAGGATGAGTCACAGCAAAGCTGCTGCCGGGAGCAAGATGCTCGCCATGCCCGGCACCACGCCGTCCCCCTCCTCACCCCGGGGGGGGGGGGCTGCCTCTGCCACCCCCTGCACCACGCAGGCACCCCGTGCCCCCGCGCACAGCCGTGCTGCGGGGAGGAAAGCGGGAGCGAACGTGCCGGGAACAGGAGGCAGCGTCTGGCAGCCCCGCACCGTGCCGGGGGGCCACCGAGCCGGCGGTGAGGGGGTGGCGGGAGCCGGCGGCACGACGTGCCGGCGGGAAGCCGTGCACAGCCCCACTGCGTGGGCTCCCGTGGGTGGCCCAGGCCGTGCGCATCCTCCCAGGAGAGAAGCACACCACTTCCACGCTGGGGTGCCCGTGGGGTTGTGGCTTTTCGAGGCAGCTTGTCCTGCGGCTCCTGGCAGTGTTCTAGGGGAGGTGCTGGGAAGGGGACACCATTTCCCCGCTCGGGTCCCGTACAGCTCCCTCCGGGCTGCCCTATGGACCCAAGCAGCATGTGGCGAGTCCCAGAAGGTGCTGATGGGCCTTGCTGTCCCTGCTCCTGTCACCAGGCCCAGTGCTTGGCTGTGTTTCCATTGCTTAAGCATCCTTCCCAGCCCTGTAGCAATGCCAAGTATGGACAGACCCTGCAGCTGCTCGAGGGGAGCAGTGGCTCTGTGCAGAGGAGGGGGGCACCCAGGGCTCCTGCTGGGGGACGTGGAGAGGAGGAGGCTCTGGCTCCCTGTGCATCTCTTGGGGAAAGGGTGCTAGACCTGACGAAGCCCTGGGCCGGTCCCTCTTCTCCAGGGGTCGGGGTCTCCCAGGTCCTGTGTGCTGCAGAGGATGGAGCCCACCCCAGACTGCAGGAGCCTGGGGCTGCTCGGGTTGAGCTCCAGCTCCTGACATGGGGTGTGTAGCCCAACACTCACCCACTGCGGGCACAGATGACCATGGAGGAGGAGGGTGCTACGGGGCAGAGATTGGAATCAGAGCCAGGTTTGGGGCAGGAGGAGAAGGGGGTTGCAAACCACCCTACAAAATGCCATCTGGGGGTTGAAGCAAACCACTGCAGGAATGCTCTGATGGCCGTGGCGGTGATGCTGGCCCCTCCGCTCCACCGGGACGGCCTGGTGGGATGCTCTGGTCCCCCGCCGGCCGTGCTACCCCGTGCCCCCCTCCCCAGCACGGCGGCCAGGGATGGCTGTGCAGCGTTCAGGTCCGAAAGTGGCACCGCTTGCTCCCAGCACACGGCGCAGGGCTGACACCCTGTGGCCACCTCTGCTGAGACACACACACACACACACACACACACACACACACACTTCTCACGGCCCCTTGCACTCTCCCTTGCCACCCAGTCCACCTGGAAGTCTCTCCAGAGGGCCGTGGTCCCACTGGAGACCCTGGCTCGAGGGGTGGGTGGGTCACTTCTGGGTGTTCCAACCTTCTTCTCTCATCTCTACACCCCAAACCCCTCCGCTTCACCCTTCCCCGCCCTGCTCACAAATTTGGGGAGGGATGTGGCTAGACAGGGACATGTGTCCCAGCTCTGCATGGTCACTCCTGCTCTGGCCTGGGAGGGGAAGGGTGGTTGGGGCCACCAGGCTGGCACTGCCTCCAGGGGATGTGGCTGTTGTCACTGTCACACGCTGCCCAGAGAACCCCTTTTTCCTGCCGGTGGTCCCTGGCTGGTCCTGTGTCAGCGATGGGATGGGGCTCTGACACCTTTGCCCCAGCAACAGCTGGGTTCCACGGCTCATGGTGACACTGTCTCAGCCCAGTGGGTCACCCCCTGTCCCCTCCCGTGTCAGCACAGCTCCCTGCACACGTCCCATCAGAGGTGGGTGCCATCCTGCACCCTGGGAGGTGCAAAGCCAAGCACCCATCTTCCCCACAAGCAGAGGTTTTTAGGGTGGGCGGCAGCCCCGTGCAATGGCTGTACATCCCAGCAGAGGGTGCAACCTCCCCGCAGAACAGGGCACCGCTACCCCCCCACCCCCCCCTCCCCGGAGTCCCTAAAGGACGGTGGGGACACCCTGAGCTGGGCAGGACGGGCAACACGAGGATCTCCAGTCCCCTTGTCGATGGCAGGACCACCCGGTGAAGGGTGGCCGATGCTCTGACCGCTACCTGCTGCAAAACATTACGCCCAAGCTGGAGTTGCCCTCCAGGACCCCATGATGCTGCCCCCCAGGCTCCAGGCTGGGTGATGCTGGGCTGGGAAGCCCCCACTGGGGAGCAGACACACGGGGAGTGCAGCACCCACTGCGTGGCACCAGGTGGTGGGGGATGGACCTGGGACAACAGACGTGTGGGCTACGCAGGCACCATCACTACAGCATGAATTTAGCCCCTCTGGGTTTACCTTCCTTGCAGGGTCTGGGGCAGAGGTGTTGGGGTGGGACAGTTGGTTCCTGCCCCAGCCTTAAATCCCACATGAGCATCCTGAGCCTTTGGCTTGGGGCCTTTGGGACTTTTGGTGGGGAGGTTTGCACGTCTGTTCAAAGGTTTGCACCAGCACTTGGTCAGAGGTATGCACCAGCAGTCGGGAGTAGGTTTGCCCCAGCAATTCAGGGGGATTCAGGGAGAGGTTTGCACCAGCGTTTCGTGAGACAGTTGCACAAGGATTCGAGAAGAGATTTGCAACAGCATTCAGCTGGTGAGGAGGTTTGCACCAACAGGCAGGGGAAGGTTTGCACCAGCATTTGGGGTGAAGTTTGCACCAACATTTCGGGTGAAGTTTGCACCAGCATCCGGGGAGAAGTTTTCACCAGCATATGGGAATACAGTTTGCAGGCCACAGAAGCTTTCTGGGGACAGGGTCTCTGAGGTCCCCACTCTCGAAGGAGCAGAAGACAGCTAAGAGATGCCACAGCACCACCTTGCCCATTCCCCCAGTGTGTCTTCACACTTCTGCCCAGTCCTGGAGGCCGCCCGTTTGGAGATAAGGCTGGCTGAGGCATGCTCTGCCCCACGGCGAGTGCAGCTTGTGCCACGGCGGTGACAGCAAGCTCTGTGGGACACGGGCCACCCCAGCCACCTGAGGCCATCGTTAGCCATCTCCCCGGGTGTGTGCCCTGGCAGGGGTGCCAGGCTGTGCCAGGGTAGGCTGGGGCTGAGAAAGACGCCTTTGCCTTGTCCCCAGGGGAAGGGCTGGGTGCTGAGTGAGTCTGGATCAGGGTGTGGGTGGGGTTCTGCCCTCCCAGCTTGGATCCTGCGTGGTGCTCAGAGAGGGGGTTTGGGGTGCTGGCAGCAAGTGCTTCACCCCCAGGGTCCCCAGGAGCTGTGCGCTGCCCCAGCTTGTTCTTCAGCTCCAGCAGCAGGAGCGATAATGCAGCAATTAACACCATCTCCCAAGGCAAGAGCTTCCCCGGGGCTTCCCTCCATGGGCAAAGCCCCTGGCATCCCCCACCCGTGGCATCCCAGATTCAGGCACACAAACCACCACCAGCTCCTCCTTCCTCCACGTGCCCACTCTCTTCCTCAAGGCAATGGGTGCCTCCCCCAGGAGGTTTTTCAGCTTATCCAGCTTCCAGGGGCAGAAACGCTTGCTGGATTTTCTGTGGGGGCCAGCTGGATACCATCGCTGTGGTCTGGATGCAATGGCAGCCCACTGCAGCCGTGGGAATGGGCTGAAATATCCCAAGTCCAGCTTTTAGCAACAAGACCTGTGACAGAGTCTCCCTCCCAGTTCTCCCCGAGATCCACTTCTCAAGCCCCGTTTCCCCTCCCAGCTGCAGCACAGGCACTGTGCAAGGGAAGGGCCCCCAAGGCACGTGCCACCAGCAACGGCCGCAGCTTTCCCTGGGAGCTCCGTGGATGTGGCTACTACGGGAGGAGACTCCAGCTGTGGGGTCCCCACTCTCCAAACACCTCCTCAAGGGACCCTTGGAGTCTCCACAGGGTTATTTAGAGTTTCCCAGCATCCAGTCGCCCCTGGTACCCAGTGTTCTGTTCACAGCCTCCAGTGCCTCCACAGGCAAGGAGCACCCTCACCCCAGTGCGCGGGTGTCCCTCCCCACTTTCTGCTCTCTTGGTGAGATGAGGGGCACCCTGAATTTGCAGGATCCTTGGTGCAACCCCTGACTTCCCCCCCCGTTGGTGCCGTGGGACATTCTGGGGACACGAGGCCAAGCCTGCCCGATGGGACAGGGACCTGAGGCTGGGGGACAGGTTGTTAAACACCACAGGCAGACGTGGGGTCCCCAGAAATCCCCGAGGAGAAGCCAGAAGCCCCGTAAGCGCGCTGGCCGGAGGCTAGTTGGACACAGCTGTTTAATGGACGCTTCTCAGTACAGAGCGGGTGTTGCGATCCACGCACCCACGGCCGCCTCCTCACCATGGCCACGGCTCTGGCCCCATCTCAAACCTGGCGTCCGAAATATCCCCATTGGCCTGGCATGCCAGGGTGGTAGAGGAAGATGTCACGGCACCGGTGTGCCTCCTGGGTTTGCAGCGGGGGGAGTCCCAGGAGAGGGGGACCTGTGCCCTGGCTGGGGAAGAGGGGCTGAGCGGGACGGTGCCCCCATCGCATCGGGGGGAGGGGGTGGAGGTGAGGGAGTGACCAGGGTGCTGCAGGCGCACCCCTGGTTTGTGCACACCCCGGGGCACCCCGGCTGAGCCAGGGCACGCTGGGCGGGGAGAGGCTGAGGGCACCGTGGGGAAGGGGTCAAGGGGAGTACGGGTTGGGGGAGCTGCTGGGGTTGCCGTGGGACCTGGGCATCCTGACCCATGGCATGCGTGGGGCGAGGTTTCCAGGGGTCCCTGCTCCTTCACCTGCGGGCTGGGAGCATCCATCCACCTCGGGGCCTCACCGCTGCAGCTAACACCCCGGGGGGGGGCTCTGGGCTCTGCCTCCTCCTCCTCGCCCCGAGCACTGATGCCCCCAGCGAGGTGGGGGTACCGGCTTGCCATGCTGGGGGGGGGGTGGGGTGGGGAGTGGGAACGAACAGGACTGGTGTGGGACTGGAATGCTGAGAGGGGGGAGAGGATCCCATGGGACCAAGGGGATGGGAGGGGACAATGGATGCAGGGGAGTGCTCCTGTGCATCCAGCCTTGCCCTCCCACCCCCCTGGTGCTTTCTGTTCCCGGTGCTTCTTGCCACACCATCGCCGTAGGCAAAAAATGGTTGGTCCCCAGCAGGCCAGGGTCGAGCCGTGCTAGGAAACACTCCGCCAGACACTGGCCACGAGTGGTGGGTACAAGGATGGACCCTCCTGGGCTGCAGCCCCTGTTGGAGCCGGGCAGGGATGTGAAAGAGGCCGAGCGGGGGGTCAGCCACGTCGTTCCCCCCGAGGATTCACCATGACGATGAGCTGGGGGTGCACGGCCGCTCTGGGCCCCGCTCTCACCCCGTAACTACCCAGACCCGGCTCTGGGGCTGGAGCAAGTCCCACTTCTCCTCGGGGACAGACCCCACTCTGTCTGCAGGTCCCTGGGGGCAGGTCCTCAGTGGCTCCAGGCGCTGGCAGGGTGCAGTGGGGCTGGAGATCATGGGGGGGCAACAGGTTCCCTGCCCCCCATGCCCCACGGCATCTCCGAATGCTGAGCGGGGTCTGTGGGTGTCGCCCCACAGCATCCCTCAGCACTGAGTGGAGACTTTGGGGGTCACTCCCATGCCCCACGGCATCCCCGGGCGCTGAGCGGGGTCTGTGAGGGTTGCCCCACAGCATCCTCGAGCACTGAGTGGAGACTGTGGGGTTCACCTCCATGCCCCACAGCATCCCCGGGCGCTGAGCGGGGTCTGTGGGGGTCACCCCCATGCTCCACAACATCCCCAAGTGCTGAGCGGGGTCTACGGGGGTCACCCCACAGCATCCCCGAGCACTGAGTGGACACTTTGGGGTTCACCTCCATGCCCCACGGCATCCCCGGGTGCTGAGTGGGGTCTGTGGGGGTTGCCCCCATCCCCCACAACATCCCAGGGTGTTGAGGGGGGTCTGCGGGGGTCACCCCCCGTGCTCCACAGCATCCCCGAGTGCTGAGCAGGGTCTACAGGGGTCACCCCACGGCATCCCCGAGTACTGAGTGGAGACTTTGGGGGGACACCCCTGCACCCCACAGCATCCCTGGGCCACAGCAGGGCCTGCGGGGACCCGTCCCAGGGACCGAACCCGGCCCACAGCGGGGTCTGTGGGTGTCACCCCTCACCCCACGGGTCCCGCTGCGGAGGGGGGGGGGGGGCGTGCCGTGGGGTGCGGGGTCAACGGGGGCCACTCGCTGCCCCGCCCCACGCCCCCCTTTCCACCAATCAGAGACCCTAGAGCTGCGCTTTCCCCCCCCCTCCTCCCCCATCCAGCCAATCAAAGCCCGGCATCCATCCTCTTCGCAGCCAATCGAAGCGGAGGCAAGGGGGAGGGGGGGGGGGAGAGGGCAGCGCGGCCTCTTCCCCGCCAGCCAATCGGCGGCCGGCTCCGCCCACAAGGCGGGGCGGGGCGGGTCCCCGCGGCGGCGGAGGCCTCGCCGCCCAAGATGGCGGCGCGGGGGGGGGCGGGGGGGGGGGGGGTGCAGCGGGCCGCGGGGGGTGGTTCTAGGCCGGGGGCTGCAGGTGTAGGGCAGCGCTGTTGGGGCGGGCGGCCAGGATGTAGGCGACGTTCTCCCGCAGGAAACCGGGCCAGTCGACGGGCCTGCGGGGCAGAGACGGGCTCACCGGCCGCCCCGGCAAACTGCCTTTCCCCCCCTCCATCCCTTCCAACATGGCGGCGCGGCCCCCCCCCCCACCGCCTCACCTGGCCTCCTCCGGCGGCGTCTTCTCCCGGCTCCTCCCGCTGCCGCTGCTGGCGGGGCTGCTCTCCGACATGGGCCCCACATGGCTGATGCTGGAGGTGGAACGGAGGGAGCCTTTCGTCCCCTCACCCCTTGCCCCCCACGCCAAACGGCGGCGGGGGGGCTGCCGGGCCGCGGGAGCGGGGGTGTCACCCCGCCGCCCCCCCCCGGCCTGGGGCGGGTGTCCCCAGTACCTGACGTTGCAGGATGGCGTCTCGGTTGGGTGCTTGCGGAACCAGGCGTGCCGGGCCCGGCGGCACTCGGCCTCCCTGATGAAGCCGTCGCTGTCCTGGTCCAGGGCCAGGAAGGCCACGCGGGCCCGCTCCCGCTCCTTGGCTGTCAGCAGCCGCAGCAGGGCGTTCTGGGGGGGGGGACGGACAGAGAGAGGGGAAGAGGGTAGTGCTCACCCCATGGGGAACCCCCCCCCTGCTCTTCTGCCTAATGCTGTGGGGGTTTTCCACCCTGGGTGCCGTGGATGCTGCCCATGGGATCCAGTCCTGGGTGCCACGGCCATGGGTGCTGGGTGTAGAAACCAGCTTTGGGTGCCACAGCGCTGGGTGCTGGCCGTGGGAGCTGTGTCAAGGTGCCGTGGCCATGGGTGCTGGGTGTAGGAACCAGCTGTGGGTGCCACAGCCCTGGGTGCTGGCCGTGGGAGCTGTGTCAAGGTGCCGTGGCCATGGGTGCTGGGTGTAGGAACCAGCTTTGGGTGCCACAGCCCTGGGTGCTGGCCGTGGGAGCTGGGTCAAGGTGCCGTGGCCATGGGTGCTGGCTGTAGGAACCAGCTGTGGGTGCCACAGCCCTGGGTGCTGGCCGTGGGAGCTGTGTCAAGGTGCCGTGGCCATGGGTGCTGGGTGTAGGAACCAGCTTTGGGTGCCACAGCCATGGGTGCTGGCCGTGGGAGCTGTGTCAAGGTGCCGTGGCCATGGGTGCTGGGTGTAGGAACCAGCTTTGGGTGCCACAGCCATGGGTGCTGGCCGTGGGAGCTGTGTCAAGGTGCCGTGGCCATGGGTGCTGGGTGTAGGAACCAGCTTTGGGTGCCACAGCCATGGGTGCTGGCCGTGGGAGCTGTGTCAAGGTGCCGTGGCCATGGGTGCTGGGTGTAGGAACCAGCTTTGGGTGCCACAGCCATGGGTGCTGGCCGTGGGAGCTGTGTCAAGGTGCCGTGGCCATGGGTGCTGGGTGTAGGAACCAGCTTTGGGTGCCACAGCCATGGGTGCTGGCCGTGGCGGTCGGCTATGGGTGCAACAGCCATGGGTGCTGGTGATAGGAACCAGCTATGGGTGCTGCAGCTATGGGTGCTGGCTGTAGGAACCAGCTTTGGGTGCCACGGCCGTGGGTGCTGTCCCATGGGTGCAGGCTGTAGGAACCAGCTCTGGGAGCTGCAGCTATGGGTGCTGGGCCTGGATGCCATGGTCGTGGGTGCTGGCTGTGGGAGCTGGCCTCAGGCACTGTGACTGAGGGAGCCGGGCACACGGGTGCCGCAGCCGCGATGGGTGCTGGCCGTGGGAGCCAGCCCTGGGTGCCATAGGGTACCTGCGGCCGTAGTTTCTGCAGCAGCTGGATGGACTCGTGGGAGAGGAAGTCATGCCACTCGATGTGCCCCTTCTTGTCGGGGTCCAGGGCGGAGAACTGCAGGGCTGCCCGCTCCTCCTGCGCCTCGGCCATGGGCCGCTCGAACTGCTGCTTGTGCACCAGGTGCTTGTAGTGCAGGAAGTCGTCCAGGGTCAGGCAGGTCTCTGCGGGGGACAGATCCGCTCTGTGTACCCTGGGGAGGGGGGACCCACCTCCCCAACCGCCTCCCCCCCAACCATCCGGCACCCTCTGTGGGAAGGGTCTGCACCTGGGATGATCTTGCAGTGCCGCAGGGTCTCCATCAGGCTGTACATCTCTTCCTCTGTCAGCAAGAGGTTGAGGTTGTCCTGGGGTGGGGGACAGAGAGGAGCCGTGGGGCGAAGGCACGGGGTGGCTGGAGCACCCAGCCGTGCCATGTCGCCTTGACGGCGCGTGGGTGCGGGCGTGCAGAGAGGGACAGTGGGCTGCGTCATCCGGGGGTGCTGCAAGCGGGGTGGCTCCGCACCCACAGGTTTTGGGTGCCGTTCCAGCCCTGCCACAGCTCCTGGTGTACCCAGCAGCGTGTCCCATGGTGTCACGTCCCCAGCCAAGGTGCTGGTGTCCCCCCCCCGCCCGGCACTCACGCAGTAGTAGCAGCTCCAGCCCGTCTCGGTGTGCGCCGTCTCTGTCACCTCCACGGAGCTGTCGTTCTGCAGGTAGCCCATGCGGCGCAGGCAGCCGTCGTGGTACACCCGGCTGCAGACGCGGCAGGGGAAGAGGCTCTCGGCTGTCCACACCTCGCAGATCTCGCACATCTCATCGTTGAGGACCTGGGGTGAGATGGGCAGCTGCTCAGAGGGGCAGGGGGGGCTGGATTCTCAAGGTGCCTGTCAGGGCGGTGCGTCATAGGTGGGGATGGGTGTTGGGAGGCAGAGGGAATGGGCAGGTGGGTTTGTGTGGGGCTGGTGTAGGGTTGTAAGGGGCATGGCTGGTGGGGTTAGAGGGAGGCGGATGGGTTCGTGGGGATGAAAGGAGGGTGGCTGGGTCTGGTTGTAGTGTTCGTGGGGCTGTAGGTTCTCGGGGGTGCAGCGTGGTAGGCTGTGGGTTTGTCGGTTGACTGGTCTTTAGGATTGTAGTGAGGATGGGTGGAGGTGCTGTTGTCTGGGTTGACTGATGGTAGGTGTGGACGGATAAGCTGTAAGGCTGTAGGTGGGCTGGAGTGTAGGCTTGTTGGGGCGGGTGGATGGATGGGTAGGGTCATGGGAGTGGATGGGTGGGCTGCAGGAGTGTGGGCACGGGCAGATAAGTGGTTGGGTTGTAGATGGATTGGGCTGTAAGCATGGCAGGTGTGGATGGGTGGCTTGAATTATAGTCTGTCTGGCTGTAAACTGACAAACACATAGATTGAATCATCCTCTCTTCTCTGAAGCTGGAGTGGTCTGTGCCCAGCAGTGACACAAAACACCTCGAGTGCCCCTCCAAGACACCCCAGGGTCCCTCCAGGGCATGTCTGACCAGTTGCACCCTCCTCCCTGTGTAACTTCTCCATCCGCCCATCCCGGGCCCCCTGCCCCACTGAGCCACCTCCATGGAGCTTTGCTGTGCCCAGGGAGGCTGTCACTGCCCGGCAGGCACCGGGAGGACGTTGCGGGGTCTCCCTTGCAGATCTCCAACCCTCTCCCCATCCCTCCCTCCCAGTCTCCGTGCTCCGTCTGCTCGCCTGCTCCCGCTGCTCCAAGCTGATGTCTGGGGGCTCGTCATCGTGCAGCTCTCGCTTGGGCCGGATGAAGGCAGGCGGCGTGAACCTGTTGGCTCGGTCAAACTCCTCTGGCTCCATGCCCCGGCCGTCCCGCAGCCGTTCCCAGGCCGCCTTGCTGGCACTGCTCTCCCCCGGCTGGGAAGGTCCTGCTGATGCCTCCTCCTCTCCCTCCTGCACCGCCTGCTCCAGCGTTCCCCGACGTGTGCCCCCCACCTCTGCCCGCCGCCGTGTCGATGGTTGCTCCCGCAGCCCGTCCTTAAAGGCTGACACGGCCAAGCTGACCTTCTGCACCTTCTCCACCGTCTGCCGCCTGGACATCAGCACCCCCATGGCTCTGCGGGGGAAAGGAAGGTGCTCAGTGCTCAGGCCGCGGGGTGCAGTGGTGCTCCCCACCCCTGCACAACGTTCCCCAAAAGTGTCCCAGTGGCTTTCCCTCAGCTGCATGGGGAGCAGCTCAGGGCGGGGAGAAACGTGGGCTCCTCGGCAAGCTGGTAGCTGGGGTCATCTGTGGTGGCCGTGGGGAGATGGACCCGAAGCCAGGTGGAGATCTGGCCATGGAGGGTCTGAGTGTCAGTGGGGGAGCGGGACAGCAAGCAGGGAGCTGGATTGGGGGGGCACCCTGCTTCGCCCAGCTTTGCAGACTCTGGCTTAACAAGAAACGCATCCAGGCCCTTCCCATGCCAGACCAGTAAATCCCAGAGGGACTGAACCCTGCCCTTTGAATGCAATCCATTCTGGTTTGGAGAAAGCCTCTTTGGCCAGCCAAAGGCCAGAGGTGTCCTCCCTGCAGCTCTGCCCAGGGCTGGGGCATAGCAGAGTTGGTGGTGGGTCTCACCTTCCCTAAATTTCTGTTCGCACCCCCCCCACCTCGTGTGCGTGCGCGCGCATGCGTGCTGCTGCCCTGGTCATCCTGCATCCCACCCCAAAACGTGGGTCGCAGCAAGGAGCCCCGCAGAGAGGCTGGGCCAGCCGTGGGAGGGCTGCGAGCCTGCGGGAGGGAAGGGGAGCAGTGTGTGGGTTTGGGGTGCGTGGGTCCTGAGGAGGGGGGTTTGGCCGCAGGACTGAGGGAATATCATCTTGGGGTGAAACAGGGAGGGCGACGGCAGCAGCAATAGCAGGTTGGGCTCCATCCCAATGGGGGTGGGCTTGGAGGAGCGCGGGCTGAAGCTGGGGAGAAGTAGGATTTGGTGACCAGCGGCGTGGGGTGCGGCATCGCCCTGCGGGGGTCCCTGCCCCGCCGGGATTGCGTTACGGAAGATGCTGCAGCCGAGGGGCACTCCCAGCTGGTACCCAGGGACCGGGAGGCAGCGCTTGCTGCTTGTGCAAGCTGGCGAGGGGAAGGGAAGGGAAAAACATCGTAGCGGCTGTCTCCCGCCCCGCCGTGCTCGTTAGGGGAGTCCCCAGGTAGCGGGGTAATTAACGGCGCACGCACGCCGGGATCTCGCGGTTGCAGTGTGGGGGAGCCGTGGACGGGGTCGTCCGAGCTGCCCCGCATCAGCGGCGCCGAGCGGAGCGTGCTGGCAGGCGGCACCCAAACACCGACACACGCACACACGCATGTGATTTCCCAGCCTTTCCCCCCCCCCCCCCGCCTCCCCTCCACCACCACCGCGGGACCATCTGCGTGCAGTTTCCCACGCGCGGAGCTGGGTGTGCAAAGGCACGTAGGCCCCCCGCCCCGTCCCGCGTGTGGGGGTCCCAGTGCCGTGAGCACGTGTGGGTATTTGCACCCCTCAGCGCGCACCCCCCACACCCCACCCCGTGCATGGCTCGGGTCTGGTGTCCAGCATTTTGCAGCTCCTGGGGTGTTGCAAAGGTCTCTGCCTCCTCGCCGTGCCGCCAGCCCCCGGCTCAGGATCCCATCGGCCGTGGGCAGGATCAGCTCTGATGCTTGGGCAGTGTTTTTGCTCTGCCTGCGAGTGGGGGGCACCGCAGGGAGATTCCCCCCCCTGCCACCGCTTCACCAAGCCCTGCATCGCAGAGCAGGGGGCAGATCCTGGCCTCATCCTGCCCAAGGCTTGGGTAGAAGCAGGGAGGAGAGGGCTCAGAGGGGCTGGGCTCATGGAGAAGAGCCAAAAGAGGGGTGTGGGCCCTGGCTGTCGGCACACCAGCCCTCCCAGTAGCCGCACGGGTGCTCGTGATCCTTGGTGTGCCGGCAGCATCACCTTGCAGCGCCGCGGGGCTCTGGGTTGCCCATCCCCAACCACCCTGCGGCACAGCAGGGCAGCCCCGGGCAGCAGCGGGGGGAGCTGGCATGTGGGTCTGCCATAATCCCCCCCCCCCCCAAAATGAAGTTCCCCTGTATGTTGACGGTGTGGTTGCCGCCTTGCCCTTGGGCTGCTGCTGGAGGATCCCAGCCCAGCTCCCTGCCTCCTGTCCTCTCCCAAGGCCGCTCTGAGTGTCTTCTGCCACAGTGGGTGCCACCAGCTGCTGCGTGCCTGGAGTCTGGAAGGCGTCACTCCTGTCACGGCTTGTGTCTGTTCTCAGCCCCACTGGCCTCCCTGTTCCTGCTAATGCTGCATGGCCGGGCTGCGCCTGCACATCCAAGAGCTGAATGGCTTCACCGTGAGCTCCACCTCCGTCCCCGCTGCCTTTCCACAGGCCCCGAAGCTGCCAAGGTACCCCGAACCTGCTCCGCACTTTCCAGGACCCCCTGCCTGAACCATTGGCTGTGCGAGGTGGGACATCACCCCTGTATAGAACTTGGCCTGGCTCAGGGTTCCTCCAGGCGTGGAGGGTCCCCCCCCTCATGGAGACCCCTGGATATGGGGAGGAGGGACCAGAGGCGCCTTCTCCCCATAGCAGCCCAGCTACCCAAGCAGCCCCTGCATCCCCACGTGTCCCTGGGAGAAGGTGTCTCCGCTGCTATTTGTGGCACCCCCCGAGGCGCCCGGCAGTCGGGACCCAGTGCCACAGCCCGGCTCACCTTGGCCTGAGGTGCAGGGACCTCGACCTTGCTGCCGGGTGCCAACGCGGGGCCTATTTTTAGGTCGCCCCCACAGAGGAGCTAAATCTGGGAACGGGCCAGAGCTGCCAGCAAACGCCCGGTTCCACCGAGCCCTGCTGGCACAGGGGGCTGTCACAGTGGGTGGTGGGCACCTTCCCACCCCCTTCCCTTCCCTTCCCTTGCCCCAACACCCTGCAGTCCTGCCTTGTCCCCAGAACAGCGCCCGTTCCCCCACGCTGTTCTGATGGGGGTTTGCTCCTTGCTACTTCATCCCTGCAGCAAAACACTGAGCCAGAAGGCACTTCACTCCCTTAGCACCCATGGACTCATCTTTCCCAGCCCCACGCAGCTCTCTGCGTGGGGAAACTGAGACATAGAGGCAAGGTTGGTGCAGCTGGAGTGAGGATCAGCCTGATTTAGGCGGGGATGGGGGCACTGGTGGGACAGGGCTGGTGGCCAGCACGGTGGCACAGCGGGAGAAGGAAGCAGGGCAGAGCATCCCGAAGGAAATAGAGCCAGTGGTCGCTGCACGGCTCTAAAATCTCCTCTCTCCCATGGCAGCGGGCGTGGGGAGCATCCTGCGACTCGTGCTGGGGGTTACGGGGCGCCGGGTTTGGGTGCGAGGGCGGCGCCGGGTGCGGGGCGGTTGGGTGACGCGTGGGTGAGTGTATCACAGCGCGGCGGGGGTGTTGTGGTGGCTGGGAGCGCAGGGTGGATGCGGCGGGGAGCAGCGCGGGGTGGATGTGTCAGGGATTGGGTGTGTTAGGGACGGGTGATGTTATGGGTTGGATGTGCTACGGGGTGGCTAGCAGCACTGGGGTGGGTGTTGCGGCCCGGTGTGGGGTGTGCGGGATGGTGGCGGGTGTTGCGGCAGCTGTGGGCACACCGTGGGTGGTGGCTTTGGTTGCAGGGATGTTGCAGCAGCTGGGGGTGTTGTGGTGGTGGCTGTGGCAGCTGGGGGGTGTGGGGTGGGTGTGTTTTGGGGAGCACGGGTGCGGGGCGGGCTGTTGTGGTGCCCCAGTGGTGGCACAGGGAGCTGGGGGTATGGAGCCACAGGGCTCATAGGTTTGGCTGTTGCCTCCCTGCCTGCCCCCCGCACAGCCATGCTCGCCAGCCCCACGGTGCATCCTTGGTGCAACACCCTGCCAGTAAACCAAGGGCCAGGTGTGGGGCGGCAGCCCCTGCTCCCACCCTTAAGGGGGTGCAGCAGCAGTGCTCCAGGAGCAGGAGCCCTCTCCCATGCTCCCCACGGGTAGGGAGGGATGTTCCTGGTCCCCACAGGCTCCCCACAGGCCAGGCCTCCTCCCTGCCCTCTCCAGGCTCCCAGTGTTTTTACCCTCTAATGCTGTGCCTTCTTGGGAGCAGCATTAGGGGCCTGGGGGCAGAGGGATGGGGTACCAATGGAGAGGACAGCCTGGAGCCCATGGCAGCCCAGTCCCAGGGCTTGGTCTGAAGGGCACCAAGCAGGGCTGGGAGGAGCTGCTATGGCTCTGGCACAGCCCTGCACACCCTGCCAGCCGCTGCCCGCCTGGGGCAAGGGGGAGCCGGGCAGTGCAGGCAGCAGGCTTTGCTTGGGGGACGCCACATCCCACCTCCTTGAGCTGGCCGGAGATGTCCAGAGGGATTGGGCAGCACCCACTTGTCCCCTCTCCTCGGCAGATGGCACATGCTGGGACTGTGGCACTTCTGGGGATTCTGCTGGGAGGTGACCCGGTTGCCATGGGGCGGGGGGGGGGGGTCTGTGGTTGATGGTACCCTCCCCACACTCTGCAGGGCTGCGGAGGCCTGGTGGGGAGGTCTTGGGATCAGGGGGGGGGGGTGTGGCCGGAGCCCCAACTATGCTGTGTCCCCCTCCTGGGGACACTGAGCTGGTAGCTGCTCTCCATGCCCGATCAGGTTTCCCATCTTGCCACGCCATGGCAGATTTTATAGGTGTGTCACACATTTCCATCTCCCAGAGAGGGATGAAAATGCCGTGACAGCAGTCCCTTCCCCTGCAGCAGACACGGCTCCTGCCCAGCTCCCTGGTTCTCCTCCTTGTGTCCCTGTCCAGCTCCCCAGTTATCCTCCTTGTCTCCTTCCCCAGCCCCTCTCTGCAGCACCCACATGAGGAGCCCAATGCCTGGGCAGGACCTTCCCACCCCATCCGCATCCCCACTTCCAGGCATCCCATCCCAGGACCTCTGGTCACCTTCCCAGGTGCCAGGACCCCAGGGGCATCAGGGGGACCCACCCTTGGGTGTCACGACATGCAGCCAGCCCATGCCATGCACTGGGCGAATCGCCAATGGCAGCAAAAAAGCCACTTACCAGGGTCAGGGTCCGTCTGGGGTAGCACGAGCCCTAGACAACAGTCCACGCGATGTCCATCGCCGCTGCCTCTGGCCACGGCCCCCCCTCTCCACCCACGGGCGCTCACCGCATCCCGCGCCCTGCCCGCGAATCCCCGCCGGGGGATGGAGCGGCGAGGCTGGCACCCAGGGAGCCAGAGCCCTGCACTTGCTGCCGGAGGATGCAGGAGACAGCAAGATGCTGGGAGCGGATGCCTGTGTCTAGCGCGCACACACACACACACACACACACACACACACACACAGACACACACACACACAGACACACACACACACAGAGACAGAGACACAGACACGCGCGTGCGCACACACACACACACGGAGGAAGCAGGGAGCTTGTGACTGGGGCTGAGCAGATGCAGCCTGGTTTGCTGTCCCTGTACCAATTGCTGCCTGAGCCGTGTTAAACAGCTCTCTGAGGAACGAAGCATTTTTTTTTTTTTTTTTTTTTTTTTTAACCGGGCTGACGTTGGCTGGGAGATACCAATAAAAGCTTTCCCTGCATCTCCTCTGGCCTCCGGAGCTGAACCGCCTTTCTTCGAGTCAACCTCAAGGACTACGCAGATGGATCTGCATCTGTGGAGGAGCGAAGGTCTCCCCTGCCCACCCTCTGGGGTCTTCCCCAGGCCCGGCGCCCTGGCCACAGGCCACCTGCACCTGCTTTAACCCGATGCCTGCCGGCCAGTGTTGCAGGCAGGCTGTCCTCCCCGCACTGCGGTGCAGCGGGGGCATGGTGACTCCTGGCTACGTGCAGCCCCGTGTGCCCGGTGCAATGCAGCACCAAGGGTTTCAGTTCCAGGACTGGATATCACCCGGGTGCGCACCACAGGGCTGTAGCGAGGCTGGGGGGGCTCGCAGAGGGTGCGAGGGAGGTGATGAAGCAGGAGGGAGGATGCTGGTCTGGAGGGGAGCACAAACGCAGAGCTTCTGAAGGTGGGATATGTGCTCCACGCGCATCCTCAGCTGACCCACGCTGGCCTGGTGGAGATGGTCTCTCAGCCCCCTGACGCCCTTCTGGAACAGGGTACCGCTGGCTGAAGGGGTTGTGCTTTCCTCTTCAAGAGCAGCCAGCTGTACCTGAGGACGATTTAGGGTCCAAGAGCATCTGAGCACTTCTAGGAGCAGCTTCCAGCCAGGCTTGGGATTAGCACTGCAGGTTAGAGCCGAGGGGCCTGGGCGGTGGGGGTGCCTGCAGGGCTGCCCTGCCCCTCGGCCAGGCTGGGTACAGCGGGCCCTCTCCTGGCTAGGGGAGAAGGATGCTCTGCCCAGCCCCCCTGCACTGTTCCTGTCCCCCGGATGCTGCTGGGACCTACAGGGAACTCCTGACACCCCTGTTCCCACCATGGGTCAGGGCCTGGCTGGCTCCATGCAGATCCACCAGCCCCACGGTGGAGTGGACGTGTGTGTGTGTGTGTGTGTGTGTGCAGTGATGCCTGTGTCTGCAGAGGTGCTCAGGAGGCCTTGGCAGAGCAGTGAGCGGCAGCGGGGGCTGGGGGGTGTCATCTTTCCCATGCAGAGAGCGTGGGAAGCATGGGAACCGTGGGGTGAAGGATCATTCGATGGCTGAAGCTTGCTGGCTCCCAGGAGATGGGCAGCACCACCCCTGAAGTCTTCTCCACCTCTGAAAAAGCCTGTTCTGGACCCAGCATCCAACGCCCCTGCAGTGCCCTGTATGCCCAGGAGCAAGCGGCTGGGGCAGAGCAGCCTCAGGGGTGCTCCCAGCACTGTTTTCGGGGTAGTTTTGCTCCAGCCTGTACCACACACTGGTGCCGAGCTGGTCCCTGACCCCTGACTGCTGCTTCTCACCCTGTGCCAGCCCTTCCTAGACCTATGGGTGCTGACACGGGTCCCACAATACCAATACTTCCATTACAGACCCTTCCTATTCCTACACATCTTGGTGAGGAGGGAGCTGAGACCGCCTGGAGCTCGTGTTGCCTGCAAACAGAGATGGGGGCTGGGAAGGGCAGCGTCTGGGCGTTAAACCAGGACCTGAGCTGGTCCATGGCTCCCTTCCGCACTGGGTGGAGATGTGCAAAGCCAGGCTGCAGACAGGATTTATCTGCTTTCTGCTTGTGGCTGTCAGGTCCTGTCTTGCTTGGCTCCATCGGCTGCGGGAGCCTTGCAGGAGCCTCCGCTTGCCCTGCCCAGGCCCAGAGTGCCTCTCCATGCTTCATCCTGCCCCAGGGGTGCTTCCCTTTAGGGTGAATCGCATTTTGCATTATTTGGCCTGGGGAGCTTGGTGGAAAGGTGCTGGGATGCATGTGGGGTGGAGAAAGTGGAGGCCAGCTGTAAATGAGGCCAGAGGAAAACATCTCCGCAGACAAACCCCAGCCCCAGAGGACGGGGGAAAGGGGGAGGTGGTGGAGGAGGAGTGTGCCGGCAGGCTGTGAAAGCTTTAAGTGCCTCTGCGGTGAGAGCCATGCCCCGGCAGGCCCATGGCCGAGAGCAGCGGTTCCTGGAAAAGCAAAGGTGAGGTGGAGCCCCAGCCCTGCTCCTGCTCAGGCTGTTGAGGAGCTTGAGGGGTCCCGCTGCTGTTTGCCCAGGTGCTCTGCGGTCCCTTGTGTAGCACGGCTAGGCTGTGCCTCCGTAGCAAGGCTCTGTGGATGAGGCTGGATGAGCCTGGGGGACGGCAGCGCCTCTCCAGCTCTTGGGTGCACCCGGGCCCAGCTGGAGGGTGCAGTGTCCCACCAAAGTAGACCTGCAGCCCAGATACGCTTCTGCAAGGGGCACCCAGCAGCCTCCGCCCCATGCAAGATGCAGGATGCTCTCGCACCCTCTGGGGATAAGGAAGACATGGTCCTCTGCCCTCCGAAAAGCCACAGCGTGGCTGGGCACCCATTGGAGCTGCCACGATGGCAACAGGCTGGGAAAGCTCTTGGCAGAGCTGGCAGTGCCGGGCTGCTGGAGGAGGGCTGCAGGGGCGGAGGTGAGAGCTGAGCTGCAGGGGGAATATGCATTTTCGTCAGCTCCCCCTTACCCCCCCCCCCCCCCCCCCCCTTCTCCAAAATCTCGCATGACGCCCGCGTGTAGGTCACTGGCTGCTGCAGCGACGCGGCGTGTGGGCTCACCATCTGCGGCTGCTTCTGGAGCCCGCTGCCTGGGAACGCTGCCTTGTGCCACCCCGTCTCATCCTGGCTCCCGCCCGGCCCCCGTCCCCGAAGCCACCAGCACTCTGGGGGTCCGCAGGGCGAAGGGTTTGCTCTTTGGTGGCAGAGAGGGGTGGGGGGTGTGGGGGGGGGAACCTGAACTTTTGGCTCCTGCCAAGAAGCAAGAGCAGCAGCGGCAGGGCGCCTGCGCGAGCCGGTCTTCCTGCCAGTCAGCGGGGGGAGATGGAAAAGAGAACTTGTCAAAATAGGGAGATATCATTTTTCATGAGATTACAAGTTTGGCTGATGGAGATAATAGTGTTGATGCGCTGCGGGGAGGGTTCGGAGAGGCATCGGCACACCTCGCGGCAGCTGGTTCAGAAGGGGAGGATGATGCCAAAATCAGCATGAAACGGGATAAAAACTGGCTGCCTGATGGGCTGCTGTGTCAGACTGCAGGCAGGGAATGGGAGAGCATCACCCGTCACCAGGAACAAGCACCGCAGGAGCAAGCCTGTGAGCGAGGGAAGCCATGCCTGGTTCTCTCCAGCTGTCCCAGCCCATGCCCCCCTGACCTGCGCGGGCTCCACGCAGGGGAAGGGGCTCAGGATCCCACCCACGGTCCTGATCCCAGCTGCAGATATGAACCTGCTCTCCGCCGGCACCCGAGCGGGACATCTCCTGATGGTGGTTGCAGGCTCCCAAGGCCACCTCGTGCCCACTGACAGCAGCCTGTCATGCCCACCGAAGGCTCCCCGTCACTGCCCCTGGACGTTCGCACCGGCTCACCAGTGCCTACCCGTCGTGGCCCCGGCCACCAACGCAGGTGCCGTGCCTGATGCTGCTGGGGGTCTGTCATGCTCCCACCGCCGAGGCCAGGTCACTGACACCGCCGGTCGTCACCCCTGGCTGCCGATGCAGCTGGTGATCCCACACCCCCCAACTCAGCTGTCGGCCCCCACAGCCTCCGGCTCCCTGCAGCCCAAGCCTGATGGTGGAGGGTGGCTGCAGGCCTGTGCCTCTCACCCCGAAGGGTTCGACCTGCTTCCCTTGGGGCTCCAATTCCCTGGAGCAGCCCCTCGCCCTGGGCTGCTCTGAAACCTTCCCTCCCCTGCTCCTGTCCCCACCAACAGTCCCTCCACACCCCCCCCCAAGGTTTGTGTGGGGGGGTGATGCAGTGCCAGTGCCATTACAAACTGCTGATGGGGGGTGGTGGCTGCTCTGTGGCTTGTCCTGCTCGCGTTCTCCCTGCTGTGGTTTCAGGGACGGTGATGGGAACAGGGATGAAGACAGCAGGTCCTGGCTCTCTCCCTGCCCTCAGTGTCTGGGGTGTCCTGAGCAGGAGCTGCCAGATGGTGCCCAGCGCAGATGCAGCTCCTCCTTTGGCCCCCATCAGCAGCTGCACGGTAACAAACCCCAAATAGGTTGAGATGCCACGGATGCTGGCTGTGTGCCTTGTGGCCGTGGCGCTGTGTTTGTTTGCTCTGAGTTTTTTCCCTCCTGTCCCGGGGCTGGAGTGCAGAGCTCTTGCAGGGCATAATTACTGAGCAGCTTTGTGTGCACTGTCAGGGTGTGAGGGCTGGCTTTACCCCCTCCCTAGAAGCTTTTGCAGCATCCAAAAATACCCCAGTACAAAAGCCTGGAGCAGAATTTGCCTAATGAATCTACCTTCAGCCCTGCAGCTTCGCAGGGCCTAGGAGTTTGCAATTGAGGTCTGTCTGGATGCACACAGGAACTGAAATCCCAGCTGGGGCAGGGCCAGGCACTGGTTTTTGGTGGGCAGGAGACACCTCTCCTTTGCCCAGCTGCAGATTTGGGCTAAAGTCCCACTCTAGACTGACCCAATGTCCCCTCCTGGGGCACAAGCACACTGTGCTGCTCAGGGTGGTTGTAGCTCCAGCCGGGACCCTGTCCTGGTGCAGAGCTGAGCGCTGCTTCCCCCTCATCCTCACCTGTGTCTGACGCAGCCCTGCCTCACCGCCACATCCCCACATGTGCTGAGCTGAGCTGTGGCAGCCCCCGATCTGCTGGACCTGCAGCCCTGAGAGGACAAGGCACCCCACCAGCTTCTCCAGCTGCTGGAAGGAGGAGATCCAGCCTGCACCCAGACCGTCTTGCTTGTCCACCTCCAGGTGAGACCCTGGCTCTGTGGTGCCGTCTGCTCCCTGCTACTGTCCTGCAGTCACAGCTTGGCCGTTCCCTTTTCCCTCTGCAAGACTGGGCTCTGGGGACCCTCAGAGAGCGCGGGGTGCTCCGCACCATGCTGCCTCGTGCAGTCACTTACCCACATTGCTC